GAAATTTTAAAAAATCAAAACAAAATTACCAAATCTTCCCCAGATCTGCTTTTAAACTACCTCAAGGGCCAAGAATATGAACTACTTAAACTACCCCAAATACCTGAACTACCTAAACTTCCCCAAATACCTGAAGTACCTAAACTACCCCCAAGAACTTGAAGGTAACACGTAAACAATTATTTAAACTACCTTCAAGTAGTTGAGACACCTAAGCTACCCCAAGTACCTGAACTACCTAAACTACCTACACTACCTGAACTACCTAAATTACCTTAAAGTTCGTGAACGACCTTTTCTACCCGAAGTACCTGATTTACGTAAAATACCACAAGTACCTGAACTACCTGAAATACCCCAAGTACATGAACTACCTAAAATACCCCAAGTACCAGAACTACCTAAACTACCACAAGTACCTGAACTACCTGAAGTACCCCAAGTACCTGAACTACCTAAACTACCCCAAGTACCTGAACTACCTGAGTAAATGTTGCACTCTATCCCCTAATCTCTATGTTTACTCTCTCTGTAATCCTCTCATCTATCTTTGTTGTAAACATATTATTCTTCAGGTTTAAAACTTTACATTTTTTTTACTTTTTTCATCTTACGTCCTTTGAGAGAATTCTAAGTTTTATTATAACCTGTACATCTACGCATCTTTCATTGCTTTTTTTTCTTTCCGTTACCCTCTTTCTGTACTGCTATTCTTCAACGTTTTCTTTCCTTTTTTAATTATCTCAGCTCTGTTTCTGTTCCCATCTTTGACATGAGACAATGAACTATATATTTTATATTATACTAATTTCCTCCTTCTCTCATCACCCAAAACAATATAGAGTCTGTGTCATTATGTGTGAAACATATATTTTGATTCTTTTTCATATATTACAATGTTTTTTTCTTATATTTTAGGATTACAGGTCATTCCTAAATTCGTTTATTGTAGTTTAGCACTAGCAATCAGTAGAAAATAAGAAAGATAAGATTAAAGGGGTATAACTATTCCAAGAAGGAGGTAGGGGTTCACTGTCTTCGCAGGAGGGCGAAACACCTCCCAAAGGGGGACCGTTCATATCAAGTAGGATGGGATATGGGGATCTACCCCTTTGTACCCTAAATATATACAAGTCTATTATAATGCCCCTAGGAAGATAAAAAGCTAGCAACTTAAACGTGTCCGAGTGTTTTACAATCCATTCATAATTACATATATATATATATATTTATATATACTTATTTTATATATATTACATGTAGTTGATAGTTACCCCTATATTTGGGTCAGTATAGATTCAGATCTCAAGATGCAAGGAATTTAACTTTTCTGTGAAATATTTAACTAAGAACACGCTTATAACACTTTCTTGCTCTCACACCCTGACCTTTTTACAGCCTGACCTTCTGACCTCTTGACCTCTTGACATTTTGACTTCTCAACATTTTGACCTCTTAACATTTTGATCTCTTAACATTTAGACCTTTTTACACTCTGACCTTCTGACCTCTTGGCCTCTTGACATTTTGACCTCTTGCTATTTTGATCTCTTGAAATTTTGACCTCTTGACATTTTGACCTCTTGACATATTGACCTCTTGGCCTCTGTTCACTGAAATTCTGATATCCTCACCATTTTACTTTTTTTTTATTTTAACGCTTGACATTGTGACCTCATGACCGTTTGATCCCCTCTCAGCTTGAAATTTTTACATTTTTATTTTTATCACTGCAAGTTTTCATTACCTTATAAATTCTTAAGAAGACTAATAAGAAGATTAAAAGTTTGATGTTAACAAATAAATTAATTCTTTCATTCTTTTTTCTTTGTTTTCGCAGCATATTATGGCTAAGGCTCTGACAAGATTTTTCCTAGAATTTTCCTAGAATTTTCTTAGAATTTTCCTAATGGAATATGGAATTTACGCATGAGGCATTAAATAGAGTGTTCGCGAAAAAATAAAGGGGGTATAGGCTTGCGGCTAGGGTTGTTAATCGTTTTTGTAAACGATCGTTAACGATCATTTTTTGTTTCGTTTTGAACTTTTAGAAAACGAATAGTGATCGTTTTTGAGAACGATAGTTTTTATTAAAACGATTTGCGACCGTTTTTTAAACGATTGTTTTTTTAAAAAACGATCGTTTTTGAAAAAAAAATTATTGACAATTATGTTAACGATCGTTAACCAAGGGTCGTCGTTAACGATCGTTAACGAAGGGTCGTCGTTAACGATCGTTAACGAAGGGTCGTCGTTAACGATCGTTAACGAAAGGTCGTCGTTAAAGATTGATAACGAAGGGTTGTCGTTAATGATTGTTAATGAAACGACTAACTTTATCAAAACGGTCGTTTTTGGAAAAAATACATGCAATTAACGAAGGGTTGTCGTTAATGATTGTTAATAAAACGACTAACTTTATCAAAACGGTCGTTTTTGGAAAAAATACATGCAACTTTATTGAATGTCGTCTTACATGAAGTTTAACAGTTGTGGGGGAGTTAAAACTCCTTGATATTTTCTTAAAAACTAATCAATGATAAGTACAGATGCCCTTCAGGTCGGTTTCCTCTCTTCGTTAACGATCGTTAACGAAGGGGTCGTCGTTAATGATCGTTAACTAAACGATGAATTTTATAAAAGCGATCGTTTTAAAAACGACCATTTTTAAAAAATCGAAGTTTTAAAAAACGATCGTTTCGTTTTCGATTTTTCGTCTTCGTTTTCATAACGAAGCGATCGTTTTTCTGAAAAATGAAAACGTTAACATCCCTACTTGCGGCGAAAAATAAGCGCTTTTGATTGCAACTAATATCTGTTGCGTCTATAAGGAGAAAATTGTTAAAAACGACTAATCCGAGGAACGTAGTGTCCATACAAATTCAGAAAGATGCAACATTCAACTCGGATCGTAAACAAATCAATTTAATTCTGCTTATTATTCTAAAAACTGAAATATTATGTTTGTGAATAAGCTCGCCTGACTTATAAGTTCTTGAATTCCTTTCTCTTTTAGAAAATTTGTGTCTCCACATATTTAAGTTTATATATTCTATCCATTAAAATGTTTTAAGTTTACAAATACTTTTCTTTCAGTTCGTTATTACATTTTAGCCTTTTTATACCTGTAGCGCACTGCTGTAGGGGCCGAGAGGTGGTGGGCTGCAACTGCAAAAGCCCCTCCAATAAATGTTCTCTAATTAAAGATGAAAAAGTTTATAACAAAAACCAAGAAAAACTGTCAGATCCTGATGGATAATATTGAATTCAAAATTTCAATATTTATCATTATGAACTTTTTAAACATATATCTTTTTTACCTTTATTATTGTTTTTTACCTTTTTTTAGCTGTTGTGAGTAAATTTAAGAAAGGAATAATTTGGAGAAAATTGAAATCGAATATCTGGAAAAAAGTTGAAATTTAGCAATATTGAATTCCCAGGGTGGATTTTACGGAACAATAACCTCAAGATTTAGGCAGTTATATATATATGTATATGTATATTAAAATTGAAAAAATATGAAAAATACTATTTTATCTTTTCTTTCTACGTAAAATTCTTAAAATATATACGCTTGCATTTTTATTATTCTGATCTATTCTACAATTGCATAGTTTTAAAGTGTTTTTTAAAGATTCTTTAATATTTTGGAAAATGCGGCAAATTCAAATGAAAAATCCACAACTGCTCAAAAGATTGTGATAAGCAAAGAAATGGTAGGTAATAAAAAGTTAAATAAAAAGGAGAGCAATTTTGTAGTCAAGAAAAATCGAATTTGGTACCCACGGGTTTCCTAAAAAAAATGTTATCCAGTCGATTAACAGCTGTAGCTAACATATATAAAAATATATATATTTATTATGTAGATATAAGTATATTATACTAGGCTGTAAAGTCCCCTTTCTAGTAACACATATAGGACTGTCAGACGAACAGAACACGGACAGTTGTAATAGTTAAATATATATATATATAAATCTATATGATAAAACAAGACATTCGTACATATGTTGCATATAGCCGGCCAAACGGCTGGACCGATTGGACTGAAATTTTGATGGACACTCATGGGTGGCTATAGGCTAAAAAAATTCGGTTTTTTTTGTTTAAATATTTTTAAACACATTTTTTTGCAAATAAAAAAAATCTTTTTAATTTTTTCTTTCCACGGGCACTTCAGCTAGTTATATATATCGTATAAATATACAACTGTAACAGCACAGTTATACTAATATTGATTAATTTAAACCTATAGAATAGTTCAAATATCATGTGCCAAATTAACTAAATAAAATTACATGAAGCTGCTCATTAAACTTCAATCTTATTTTATCCCCCCCTTCTCACAAACCAGATTTTTGAAGTATCAAAATATCTTAGTTATGACCGTCGTTTGGAATTGTACAGGGTTATCCACAAACTATTGGACTTCACAGTAACGACCTGGAACTCGTAAAATATTAAAATATGAAGTTTCAATATATTTCCTAAATATTGCAGCTTCTATAATGAAATAAATATATAGTAAAGTTTACAGCTGCAGGAAACCATGATTGTGAGTAAATTCCGTACAGTCGTCTCTGAAAGTCTCATTCTTTGTGAGTAACCCTGTACACCTATTTGATTGTTATTGATAATGATAGAGCGCGCTAGAGCACAACTAGAGCGCACTTGAGCACAACTATCTGAACGATAGAGCGCACTTGAGCACAACTATCTGAATGATAGAGCGCAAAATTCAAAATTCTTAAAAAAAACTGTCCTTGTAATTTCAAGTTAACCTTCATTCACGTTGGCACTCTTTAAACCTTTTATCTGATCAGTGACGTGAAATATATATTTTCTAATCTAGCTTGAAAAGTGTTTATTTCTGAAAAATACCTCAATATCATCTCAATGAGAATTCTACAAGTGAATTTTGCAGAGAAATCAGGATTGAAAATAAGAAATGTTTCAAGTTAAAAAAAGGCATTTCATTCATTCTTGATCATTCAAATAGAGGAACTCGTAGAACACGTCGCAGTGTTAGAAGAGGAACTAGCATCAAACGTTCCAGGTAAAATATATATTCAGTGAGAACCAGAAAACACGGAATTTTCGTCATATTTTAAAATATGAAATGAATTTTTTTACTTTGCCACTGAATCTAAAAAAATGCCCTCTATAGTTCTGTATCATACAGGGTTACCCACAGAGGATGAGACTGTAAGGAAGACCTGAAACTCATAAAATATTACGGTTAGAAGTTTAAATCAAATATTTTGCCTAGTAAATTGTGTTTTAATGGCTTATTGATTGACGAGGCAACGAGAGAAATCAGTTTATAGTTGCTGAGAATCCTAAATATAAGGTAATAGACAGTATTATGTGTAAGGTCGTCTTTGTAATATCATCCTTTGTGGGTAAACCTGTATGCAGAATATGGATAAATCCTGATTCACCGATTCAAGATACGTAGTTGAACCGAATCCAGGCATGGCTTAAATTCATTAGATTTCATAAATGTATCAGCTGTAACAATGCTTTGAATTAAAAAATTCTTAGCGACGGTTTTGACGAAAAAAAACAAGACGACATTCGTTACACAGCTTTCTGGTTCTTACAAAATATAGTTAATTCAAACTAAATATAAGAAATATAACAACAAAATGACGACCGCTCTGCATTTAAAAACTGTAATAGTCACAACAATATTAGTGAAAAAGCATAAACCTAAAGGGGGGGTGTACCAGAACTCCCCCCCCATTTAGATTTAATGAATGTACATAAACATGTATTAGCTGTAAATTAATTCCGATGTTAACTGGGACGTCCTGTAGCATCTGTATCAAGCAAAGAAAACAAAACATTTTTTAATTTTCTTTCTTGTCTAGATCTGTTCGAAGACCAAATGTTCCGCAGATTACGGTCGATGTTGAAAAAGGAACAATTGTTACACGGAAGCCGAACAATATTAATACAATACTGCTTAATGGTGAATATACAATATATTAATACAATACTGCTTAATGGTAAATATATACAATATATTAATACAATACTGCTTAATGGTGAATATACAATATATAAATACAATACTGCTTAATGGTGAATATACATTATATTAACACAATACATTAGAATGGTGAATATACAATATATTAATACCATATTGCTTAATGGTATATATACAATATATTAATACAATACTACTTAATGGTGAATATACAATATATTAATACAATACTACTTAATGGTGAATATACAATATATTAATACAATATTGCTTAATGGTATATATATCTATACAATATATTAATACAATACTGCTTATTGGTGAATATACAATATATTAATACAATACTACTTAATGGTGAATATACAATATGTTAATACAATACTGCTTAATGGTGAATATACATTATATTAATACAATACTGTATAATGGTGAATATACAATATAGTAATACCATATTGCTTAATGGTATATATACAATATATTAATAAAATACTGCTTAATGGTGAATATACAATATATTAATAGAATACTGCTTAATGGTAAATATATACAATATATTAATACAATACCGCTTAATGCTTTAAAAAGCAAATATTAATACAATACTGCTTAATGGTGAATATGCAATATATACAGTGAAACCCTTAATAACGAATACATCGGAAGAATTTATCAAATGTCGTCTTGACAATTTTTCAATGAGTTTATACTATATTACGTAAATTTCAGTATTTGTGAAAATAAAAAAATAGCCATGAATATGTGGGAACAGTTTTAAAGAGTTCCATATAATCATTTAATAAAAAAAAACTAAATATCTGCAACATTCCATTATCAGAATGTGAAAAATACGACATTTGATGAATTCTTTCGATGTAATCGTTATTAAGGGTTTCACTGTATTAACACAATACTGTTTAATGGTGAATATACAATTTATTAATACAATACTGCTTAATGGTGAATATTCAATAAATTAATACAATACTGCTTAATACTGTTCCATATCAGAAAGGGAAGAATACAGCATTTGATGAATTCTTTCGATATATGGCTTATACAGGAGTTATCTGTGTGAAAACAAAGCTAACTGAAAATCAATTCTGTTATTTCAACGAACCTACGATTTCAAATGTCGTCTTACTTGTTGTTCTTTTGGGTTTTGAAAAAGATTGTTAAAGATGTGTAGTCGTAATGTTTACAGTAAAAACCGAGTCACGGAAGTTCGTAGTAAGATTTTGACTCCACTGGAGACCACCGGAGGGAATTCATTTTCACTGGAGAGGTTTGAAAAAAATGCTTTTTAAAATTTAAAACTTTACGTAGGGTGATTTACATTTCACTGGAGGGATTCAGATATATTTCCAGGGGGTATACAATTCCACTGGAGAGATTCAGAAATCTTTCTTTATACAATATATTAATACAATACTACTTAATGGTGAATAAACAATATATTAATACAATACTGCTTAATGGTAAATTTACAATATATTATACAATACTGGTTAATGGTGAATAAACAATATATTAATACAATACTGCTTAAAAGTGAATAATAATGTATGCTTTTGTTTACTCTATCAATGAAATAATACACGAGTTGACAAATAAGGGAACAAGTTTAATGGTAAAGGGAATAAAGGAGGCTAATTAAAGTCTGAATAAATTCCGATCAGTCTTCTTGAAGTCTCATCCAAGTCCCCATCCTTAGTGTTGTTAATCGACGCTTTGGTCCTTTTTAAAACTTTTAATAAAACTTTTAAAACTGTCATAAGTTTAGGTTTGCTTTTATAAAACTTTGTAATATTCTTATCCTAAAAAGAAGTGAAAAGGTCAAAATTTTTATAAAGCACAATATTTAGATCTTTAACAAACGGTAACGAATTGGGAAATACCGATAACGATGGAAACCTTTAGTACATCCTACAGCTAAACCTTAAATGAGCCATACATTCATATCAAATGTCGTCTTGACAATTTTTCAATACTGTTCCATTATCAGAAAGTGAAGAATACAACATTTGATGAATTCTTTCGATGTATGGCTTATTTAGGAGTTATCTGTGTAAAAACAAAGCTAACAGAAAAAATCAATTCTGTTATTTCAACAAACCTACGATTTTAAATGGCGTCTTACTTGTTGTTCTTTTGGGTTTTGAAAAAGATTGTTAAAGATGTGTAGTCGTAATGTTTACAGTAAAAACCGAGTCACGGAAGTTCGCAGTAAGATTTTGACTCCACTGGAGACCACCGGAGGGAATTCATTTTCACTGGAGAGGTTTGAAAAAATGCTTTTTAAAATTTAAAACTTTACGCAGGGTGATTTACATTTCACTGGAGGGATTCAGATATATTTCCAGGGGGTATACAATTCCAATGGAGAGATTCAGAAATCTTTCTAGGGGGTTTATAATTCCACTGGAGGGATTCAGAAATCTTTCCTAGGGGTTTATAAGTTCACTGGATGGATTCAGAAATCTTTCCAGTGGGTTTATAAATCCACATTCAGATATCTTTCCAGGGGGTTTAAAATTCCACTAGAGGGATTCAGATATCTTTCCAGGGGGTTTATAAGTTCACTGGATGGATTCAGAAATCTTTCCAGGGGGTTAATAATTCCAGTGCAGGGATTCAGATATCTTTCCATGTGGTTTAAAATTCCAATTGAGGGATTCAGAATTTTTTTCAGGGGATTTTTAAATCCACTGGAGGGATTTGGATACCCTTCCTATGGGTTTATGATTCCACTGGAGGGATTCAGAAATCTTTCCAGTGGGTTTATAAATCCACTAGTGTGGAATAATAACCCCCCTGGAAAGATATCTGAATCCCTCCAGTGAAATCATTAACCCATATGAGGGATTTCTGAATCCCTCCAGTGGAATTATAAACCCCCTGGAAGGATATCTGAATCCCTCCAGTGGATTTATAAACCCCCTGAAAAGATTTCTGAATCCCTCCAGTGGAATTATAAACCCCAAGGATGGATTTCTAAATCCCTCCAGTGGAATTATAAACCCCTAGGAAGGATATCTGAATCCCTCCAGTGGAATTATAAACCCCAAGGATGGATTTCTAAATCCCTCCAGTGGAATTATAAACCCCTAGGAAGGATAACTGAATCCCTCCAGGGGAATTTTAACCCCCAGGTAGGATATCTGAATCCCTCCAGTGGAATTATAAACCCCCTAGAAAGATTTCTGAATCTCTCCAGTGGAATTGTTTACCCCCTGGAAATCTATCTGAATCCCTCCAGTGAAATGTAAATCACCCTGCGTAAAGTTTTTAATTGTAAAAAGCAATTTTTTAAACCCCTCCAGTGAAAATAAAATCCCTCCGGTGGTCTCCAGTAGAATCGAAATCTTACTACGAACTTCTTTGAGTCGTAAAAACCGTAATTGTAGTTAAATGAAAACCGTAACTGTAGTTTAATGAAAAATATTTAAAGAACAATTAACAATTAAACATTTATTTTTATACCAAGTCTCAGAAAACGATTCAACAATTGATTTTTTAATGGTTTAACAACAAAATTAATTGCTTTATTAATCGATTAATTGATTTTTTAAAGATTCGATAACAAAGTTAATTGCGCTTTTGATTGATTTATTGATATTGCAAAGGTCGGGTAACAAAGGTAATTAGGTTAATTAATTGATGATTTTTAATTGATAGCTACTTCAAACTATCCATTTATATAAGTTAAGATGGATTGATCGGTTGATTTCAATCAATTGAATAATTGTTGTTTATATTAGGGTATAGACGATTCCTTCTTCTGCTTGGTATACAATCTTCTTCGGCCGAAGTTAAACAGACGGTTACTACAATAGGTATTATTGTATATATTGTAATTGTATATATTGTATATTTCATATTTATTAATCAAAAATTTATATTTCATCATAATCAAAAAGCATAATTTTTTTTCAACAATTGTTTCTGTTTTTTTTGCTAAGCATATTTTTATCAGTATTTTTTTAAACCTTTATTTCTAATCTATTAGTCTAAAGTGCACTATGCACAGAGCGGAAAAATTGTCGTCTTTGGTTTGTGTTTTGTTTAGAAATTCTACAGTAAACTAATTAGTTTATAGGAACAGGTTGAGAAAATAAAAATTAACTCTTATCATCGGAAATATGTAATCTTATTCAGTTATTTGTTTCTGTAACCTCTTATTGTTCACAAACATTTTCTGTAGATTTTCTGGAATTATTATTGAACAGACAACATATTTAGAATTTGTAAATAAAAATAATAATTTGATTAAAAAAATTCAAAATAATGATGAAAAATGATAATTAATTCTAACATCGATTTATGGACAAATATTTATTTGAGAAATTTGTTCCTAAATGTCTAGTATATCTGAATTTTGATACATTTTTCGGTTATAATTAAAACCTATCCACCATAATGGACGATTTTGAACGTCAACTTTGCACTCAAACTCAGTAATTATACATCATTAAAACGTTTCATATTTATCAAATGAATTTAAAAATTTCTCCACAAGAATATATTCTCATTTCAGCTACCTTACATTGCCGGTCACTCCCTTTAAATGGTTTAAGATATAAGATAACAATTAAAAAAAAAACTCCAAAGAATCTTTAATGTAAGAAATAATACAAATGTTGTCTACAAGGTCTCATTCTTTATGAGTATTAACATAATTTATTTTTGTAGAACCAGCTGTTCTGGAGGAACTGGAAGCTCCTCAAAGATACAGACCTGAGAACATTAACTCACTTTGTGAAGCTACTGGGTCAGTAATATTATTAATATCATTATTATTATAATTATTATTATTATTATTATNAAGTTGCAAATTTAGAGTTAAAGAGTCAAGTTGCAAATTTAGAGTTAAAGAGTCAAGTTGCAAATTTGAAGTTAGAGAGTCAGATTGCAAATTTAGAGTTAAAAAGTCAAGTTGCAAATTTGAAGTTAGAGAGTCAGGTTGCAAATTTAGAGTTAAAAAGTCAGGTTGCAAATTTAGAGTTAAAAAGTCAGGTTGCAAATTTAGAGTTAAAAAGTCAAGTTGCAAATTTAGAGTTAAAGAGTCAAGTTGCAAATTTAGAGTTAAAGAGTCAAGTTGCAAATTTGAAGTTAGAGAGTCAGATTGCATTGAACCTGTAAAATCTTTCCCTGGGATATCTAGAAAGATGAAAATTTTCCTGTATGATAATTGAAGGACTGCAATTTGGTTTTGGTAAATTATATTGACGTACTAAGCAATCATCCAGATCAAAAAGTTTTAAGAAAAATTAAACTTTATAAGTTTTATAGGAGTTTTTAAAAATAAGTATAAAAAATCATTTCTGACACCCCTAGGCTTAGTACGTCAATATAATTCACCAAAACCATACTGCAGTCCTTCAAGTATCATATACAGGGAAATTTCCATCTTTCAAAACATCCCAGGGAAAGATTTTACAGGTTCTTTGGAGTTAAAGTGTCAAGTTGCAAGTAAGGACTTAAAAAGTCAGTTTGCAAGTAAGGAGTTAAAGAGTCAGGTTGAAAATTTGAAGTTAAAGATTCACATTGCGAAATTACAAAATTTGGAAAAAACGTGACAAAAATAAGATCAGGTTTATACTGATGATAGAGAGTATGACAATGCACATAGAAAGTGTTCAATGAAATTCTGTTTACAGGAAACTGTCATTCAATTATTATATTTCAAGGGACTAGTCACAGAAGAAGTTTTCCACACAATATTCAACAAATTCTTTCCTCTGGGAGGTAAAATCTAGTTTTTTAATACTGCAAAAAATAATAATTAAAACCCCGGGCTTTCGTAATTTGTTCAAATTTATTTTACAAAAGGTATTGTTAACTAAATAAAGGTTTGCAGTTTCTGTATTTGTTTCTCTTCCATGAACGTCAAAACAGCTGAACCGACCGTAGAAAATGTTGAAAAATTGCCTAAACAAATTTGGTTGAAACAAAACTGGAAATTAACAATTACAAACAAAAAACTAAGATATAGTAAACTTCATAGTTTAAAAACTAAGATATAATAAACTTCATAGTTTAAAAACTAAGATATAGTAAACTTCATAGTTCAAAAAACTAAGACATAGTAAACTTCATAGTTTAAAAACTAAGATATAGTAAACTTCATAGTTAAAAAACTAAGATATAGTAAACTTCATAGTTAAAAAACTAAGATATCGTAAACTTCATAGTTAAAAAACTAAGATATAGTAAACTTCATAGTTAAAAAACGAAGATATCGTAAACTTCATAGTNAACAAAACCAATCAGGGTATAGTATAAAAAACGAAGATATCGTAAACTTCAAAGTTTAAAAAACGAAGATATCGTAAACTTCAAAGTATAAAAAACGAAGATATCGTAAACTTCATAATTAAAAAACTAAGATATCGTAACTTTCATAGTTTAAAAAACGAAGATATCGTAAACTTCATAGTTAAAAAACGAAGATATCGTAAACTTCATAGTTAAAAAACGAAGATATCGTAAACTTCATAGTTAAAAAGCTAAGATATAGTAAACTTCATAGTTAAAAAACGAAGATATAGTAAACTTCATAGTTAAAAAACTAAGATATCGTAAACTTCTTAGTTAAAAAACTTAGATATAGTAAACTTCATAGTTAAAAACGAAGATATCGTAAACTTCATAGTTAAAAAGCTAAGATCTAGTAAACTTCATAGTTAAAAAAACGAAGATATCGTAAACTTCATAGTTTGAAAAAAAAATTCAGCAGATTTTTGTAACCTGAAGGTTCAATTTAAGTGTTTTTGTGGTCGTAAAAGTATCACGACAAAAGACTGATTTTTTGCAGTCGTCCCTTCTGGGTAACCCAGTTTAATAAATTGATGTCTATCAAAATTCAAATGATAAATTATTCTTTAGGGTTAAAAATGTTAAAACAATATTTTTTTTAAACCTGAACTTCTATCTTTATATACAACTTTGCTTGTCTGGGTGTGTGGGTGTCCGTTTGTTTAAAATAAACGTCAAAACGGCTGAACCGATCAGGCCCAAATTTTACGTGGGACCCCAGGAAAAGAAAATGGAACATAGTGGAAAAGTTTGAATTTCTTTTTCTAAATGCGCCATATTAAAAAAATCCACCAACATTTTGAAATGATTTGAAATGACTTTCACAGCAACAACTAAAAGCTAATTGCGCCCTAAATGCCCAGTTCTTTAATATTTACTTTAAATTAAGGAGCAAACAAAGACGACAATTTATATCTTCCTGGAATACTTTGTCAACTCTTGATATGAATGAAACCGGAGAAATTTTGTGTCACACGTGCATCTTTAAATTAATCGTTGATCTCCATCTTGTGCTACGGATTGATTTAATTCCTTATGGATATCCCTTGATGATCGTACGTTGCACAGAAAAATAACAAGAATCTATGTAAGAAAGTCACCGAAAAAAAAGTTTCTGGAATAAAAACCTGGAAATAAAAACTTTGGTAAAAAAATCCCGATTTTCTGAAGTCCTAGGACAAAATCTCACTGGAAATATAGTTCTGAGTTTGAAGATTCCTGGGACTTTTATTCATAGAACTTTTGGACGGTTATCAGATAATATAATATACTTTAGCAGAACTAGAGACACATAATTTCAATAATAGGTTTAAGGAGTAATATCAGAGATCAGGGTGCGATTTGATCTTATGCAATTAATAGTTAATATATTTTTGTTAGAATAACTAGATTTTAAAATAAGTTTGTGACATGTACAAAATGAAAATCAAAACATATTCACTTAGGTTAAAATGAATAACAATTTGGTTTAAATGTAACTTTCAAAAAAAGAGTTTAGCTTAGTCTTTTTTATATTGTTTATTTATTCAGCAAACATGAGCGCATATTCTCATTACGTGTTCTCTGCACTGGATGTTCAAGAAACAGGGGTCATTACTTTTCAGGTCATTTATTATTATTATTTATACAGTTGTCATCGTATATATCAATACAATGAAGATGACTTTCGATTTCAATTAGCATAGACATACACATAAAAATGGAAACAGATGTATTTTGTAAATAAAATAAAAGATATATAAGAAAATATAATGATAAACATGTTTAGGATTTTGCTTTGGGATTATCCATACTTGTGAAGGGGACTCAAGAAGACAAACTAAGGTCATCTTTTTACATCTAAATAATGTTTCAACAATTTTTTAAATCAAACAGCATTCTATTTTCTAACAGTTTTTTTATCTCAAATCATTTTTCCTAATTTCTAACAGTTTTTTAACCTCAAATTAGTTTTTCTTATTTATAGACACATTTTTTTCAATTTTTAAATCTCTTTCTCATTTCTAATAAAAAATTTCTAATTTAGAAAAAATTTATTTATTTTTAAATAATTTTTCTAATTCCTAAACAGTTTTTCTTCTTTATAATAACATTTTCAAAGGAACTGGAAGTTTTTGCCACAAACTCAAATTTTCTAATCCCGAAATCTTCGCAACCTGATAATGTAAACCTTTTACATTTCAAGCTTAAACTATTTGATTTTAAAGATATCATAGTTAGAAATCTACAGATTAACATCGTGTCGCAAAGATATAGATATATCTCTATCGATGATGTTGCGGAGATGACCGCTCAGCCAGCATGTATACAAGGAAATATTCAACCAGGATTGCTCAGTTAATAACGAAGTCTACACCTTCTACTCCAGGAAGGAGGAAGGATGGGTCAGGAACATAACATCAACCATCACGGGGACTCCACCCCTGAGAGAGAACCAAAACTATTTTTAAAGGCATCTGCACAAAGCCGTATGAATCGAGACCAGAGACCAGAGAGAGTCTAAAGTCTGCAAAAGAGTCGGGGTGGGACAGGGTTAATGTAATATAATCTTAATACAACATCGCTTCTAATTTACTGTCGTAAAGATTAATACACTGATTTTAGCCAACTACTGCACTAGGGGTTAGAAAATCAGAGATTGTAGCAAAAACTTAATTCCCAATTCTACAGTTTTTAAGTTTATTGAGTGTGTCTAGTGTTGATCACAATAAAAAAAATTGAATTGTTTATAAAAAAATTACATTTTTTACAGATGGACATTTGATTTGTATGATTTAAACGGAGACGGAGTTATTACCAAAGATGAGATGGAAGATATAATAGCTTCGGTAAATATATTTTTATATTTTTCCGATATATTTCTATATTTTTTTTTAACAAGGCTACATTTTTGGACAAAAGTAAAGTTTTAATTTTTTCTTTCTAAATCTTTAATATGAAAAATAAACAGTTTACCTTGGAGAAAGCTCATAACATACATTGTTTCCTGCAGCATATTTGCAGCTTCTCTTACATGTAAAATAAATCTTTCTTAAGCAGAAATAATTAAATTTTGTTTTAATAAAAGAAAAAGCTGAAAGATATGATCAAACATAAACAAATTCTTTTGTTCAACTATGATTAAATTTTGACAAAGAAAAATGGGAAAATAAAAAAGTTAAAAATAAAGCCGCAACTGGATAAGTCAATTTAAATTAAAAACAAAAAATATGATGAAGGCTAAACCTTTTTTATAAAGGAAATGGTTCAAAACTGAAAAAGAAGAAAACGTTTTGAATACTGATTTTCTTAACCACAAGAAGTGTGCAAATTTCTATGAAAGTACTGCGTGTATGTTTAAGTAAAGTTTGCAAAAATGCTTTGCTGAGCTTGTGCAGTTTGCTTCTTTAAAGGACTTAGGTGATGGTGAAAAAATGATTAAGAAAAAAATACTTTCAATTTTTGCTAATAATTTGCAATTGTTAAAAGTTTTGCCTTGCTTTAAATTTGGACCGGAGTGGGCATAACATATTTATTTATTTTTCAAGATATTTAATATATTCATATTTAGATATTTATTATCTAAATGTAATATGCATTAGTTCTTTAAATGAAATTTGCTGAGTATCTAAATATAGATAAAGAAAGCTCACCCTGGACTAACTGCAGGGCTGGATGTGTTTGGCTGAATAGCCCATATCACAGTTGTGTTTTTTTCTAAATAAATTAAAAACTGCTTACGTTAAAACTTAAACTTTTTTTTTGCTAAAATTTGTAGGATGGCAAACAGTCAAACGACAGGTGGATATAAAAATCATAAATGCTTTATAACTTTTTTATCTAGGCCTTCATTCTTCTCTTCAAACTCCAAAAGTAAAAAAATCAGATTTTTTTTCTAAAATTTCAGAATTTTGAATTTTGTAGGTGTATGATCTGATGGGGCGGCCAGAAAAGGAGACAAAGGTAATTTTAAAAAAGTGATCAATGTACTTATTTTGTAATTAATGTAACACTTTGTTTCAAGACCGACATCAGCAAATAACATCAGAAGCCTAACAAAATCACTGAAAGTCTTAGAAAATCAATAGCAAATTTATTGTTCGAATTTAGCAAAAAATGCGCAAAAACTAAAATATGACAAATGAAACATTTTTGAAAAGCCTAAATATGTATTGGAAAACAGAAAATTTGCAAGTTTCCTGTAAAGGCGCCAATGCCAAAAGAGGGCCGTGGGGGGGGGGGCTGAATAGGGTATAACAAAAGTTAGCTAGTAGATCAATATAGTTTAAAGAAAAGAAGAAAATGTATAACGTAAGGAAATGGAACTCTCTAAACTTGAGTTAAAATAAGCACTAAATCTTTTAATTAGATACTTAATTCAACTTAAAATATTTTAAATATATTTAGAGACTTTACATTATTGAATCGTACACTTAAAGGGACTGTAAAGGAAAAATGAAAGGAGGTAAAGGCTGAAACCTAAGAATCTCAGGAGTTGAACGATACATTTAAGACATCTATCTGATGTTCCTGTCTGTCTCGAGAAATTGACATAAAACTGTGTCAAAATTATACCAAAACGTAGAGAAGTAGGATATACGTCCGTATCAAGTTACTAGAACTCCCTCCAACGGCAGTGCAATTATATAATATTAAAAAAATATTAAATTCAAATAATAATAGGAGCAAACTTGAGTTTCTCAGGCTCCTCTGGGATTGTTTTCCGATTGGTTGCGTATTTCTTGAATATGATCTGCTTAATACTTTGAATCTTATACAAAATCTTTCATATATACGTTTTGGTATAATTTTGACACAGTTTTATATCAATTTCTCGAGACAAGAAAATCAGATAGAACTCATATATGTCTCAATCAACTCCTGAGATTATCAGGTTTCAGCCTATATCCCCTTTCATTTTTCCTTTACAGCCCCTTTAAATTCAAATAATTTTTCCTCGAATTTGAATATGTTTGTTGACTTGAAAAGATAAATAATCTGAAGTCTAGAATTTTATTTTTGATCAAATTTTATTTTTTTATTTTGATGCCAAAATTTATGGCTAAAAAATTACCTGGTTCGACTGCACTTGATATATATAAAGCTTAAACTTTTTAATTTAATTTAATTTTGATTTAATTTATTATGGAGAAATACGATAAATTCACTGAGTAATGATTATTAGGATTTTTTAAAGAAAAGAGTGGCTGTGTTTAAGTGACCCTTCATGCAAAGAGGGCGATATGTCTGATTTACAAGTCTACCCATCAAACTTTGACTGTTTTATCGAGTTTACAGTTTGACTTCAGCACAGCTGATGTTTACAGTTTGACCTCAGCACAGCTGATGTTTACAGTTTGACCTCAGCACAGCTGATGTTTACAGTTTGACCTCAACACAGCTGATGTTTACAGTTTGACCTCAACACAGCTGATGTTTACAGTTTGACCTCAACACAGCTGATGCGCTAATTGTGAAATTTGAAAAAATTGAATATTTTACATTAAAAAGGGTTTCCAAAAATTTTATAAAAAATATGTATTCTTCGCCATTTTTAGAAAGTGATTTTTAAAACTTTAAAAGCTTGTAAACATTATGTTCAACAATTAAGCGCGTTTTTGTAGATTAATGGAAATAAGTTCGACAACATTGATCAATCGAAGGGTTTACGGGTAATTTTGTGCATCGAACATACACTTGAAATTACGCTTACAGTCCCTTTAAACTGGACCGTAATAAACAAATAAAAAACAAGTTTTGTTCTTAGATAAAAAATATATTATACAGGGTGTTATTTAGAATGATCTTTGTATTATAAATGTACAGGGTGTTATTTAGAATGATATTTGTATTATAAATGTACAGGGTGTTCCTGAGATAGATGAATTTGTTACCCAACGTGTCAACAAAGTATTTCAGGTAACATTTTGTTTTATCTTTAAATACAAATTATGAAAGTTGTGTTTATACTTGCTTCAAATTTTCTTAAAATATTCTAAAGAAATGGAATCTTATTTAATATTCAGTTTTAACAGTTTATTCATTTACTTTAATGTATACTTTAGCTTAATTAACGAGTCTCAGCGCTACAACTTTCATTTTCATATTTTCCCCGAGCTGCTGGGTGTCAAAAATATTATATTTGGGATTTAAGATATTTTTCAACTCGTTTTTTAAAAGCTTTAAATTCATTTTAAAAAAATTTTCGTTATCTTTTATCAGTCAACGATATTTTAATTCATGGTCACTTGGTTAATTCTCATATTTTTTTTGGACACTTAAGTTTTTTCTATATCTTCTTTTATCCTAACTAATTTAGTGTTAACCATATCACCTTATGTTGAACAAAATTGGATTTTTTACGTTTGCATTAAAAGGAACCATCGATTCTAAGTTTAAAAAAAACTTCAAATGAAGAGGGGCACCCTAGAAGCTACGATGAACAATGTGGAAGAGAACGTCATTTTTCTTGTGAAAAAATGCTTAATTTTGATCATTCTGTTTTAACCCTATAAAGGCTGGGGGGTCTGAATCTATGTATAGCCTGGGGGGCGTTTGGCGCTGTATGTATAAAATGCCTTTTTTTTACTACGAAATGTGCACCCTTCAGAAGGTGGGTGGTGAGGATAGTAAAGGTCGGAAAGTGTTATGAATGCCAGAAACAAGCTTAAAACAAGTGATTTAATGGGAATCAATATCCATATTTTATACCATGCGCATAGAAAAAACACAGAGTGGGGGTGGGGTCTCTCTAAAAAACAGACGGTAGTTTGTGTAGTAAGGGTAGTTGCCATTCAGATTCAGCTTCAAGGGTGGGGGCACCAAACACACCCCCCCACCCCCAGCTTGTTTAGGGGTTAGAAACAATAGAGTAATTTATTCAAGGAAGCCAAAAATTAAAGTAAATAGTTATAAAACACAAACACCCGAATACCTAATTCATACATTATTAAAAAAAAGCTCAAGGGTAAACTTGTGAATCGATCAAGACACTCGATAACGATGGAGGATCACTTGAATTTCACTTATAGATCCTATCATCGACCTTTAGAACCATGTTGGAAAGGTGGACGGTTTCTTTAATTTTAAACTTTTCGTTTTCCAGTTTCCATTTCAAGTTTTGGTTTTCAACTTAGATATCCTTCTTTTATTTTACTAAGCCTGTATTTGTTACATTGAAATAACGTCTACAATTTCGTTCATGACTGATAATCATGCAATTTTATGTTTCTTTTTAATTTGGGGATTACTTTACGGATTCCTACATTAAAGGGACTGTTTGAATAATTTAAAGTGACTCTAATTTAAAAGCTGGCCCGATTCCCATGGGCCTATTAAAAAATCATTGTCGACATGCAGTGTAAATCAGCAAGTCAATTAATTAGAAAACCAGAATTGGAAATTTTCTGTTAAAAAAACATCCCACCAATGCATATAGCAGTGCAGTATCATTGTCACGACTCACGAGTCTCTGTCTTAAAGATAAAGATAAAGATGAAAATAAAGATGAAGATAAAGATAAAATATATCTATGGAATATTATTAGATTTTGTTGTTGACTGTAATTGTAAGTTTTATTTATATCTGTAAAAATTATTTAATATCTAAATTCTAATCTAACCCTGACCTTTTCAATTATAGAGGATGGATTTGAACGGAGACGGGTCAGTATCATTTGAAGAGTTTCTGGAAAGCTGTTTAGGTTAGTCTAGAGTTAGTCTAGGGGGAATGGAGGGTCTCCAAAAAATATTGATGGTTGAAAAAACGTGGATTTTTGAAAGTAAAGAATGCCGCTAGATATTGTATTTGAAAATTTGAAATTTAAAAATTTTTTGTGCATTGCATACTGAAATCTGGTGATTTTGTAGTCGAATATTTCTTTCAATTAGAATTATAAAAAAAATTCCCTTTTTGAAAAATTTAAGCATAGAAAGATTTTCAGGGCATTCTCTTTTAACAATGTTTGAAAAATAAAAATTGAATTATAACCTTATTAGCGAGGTTAAGAAAACCCTCTAGAGTAATAAGTTTTTAGAAAAAAATTTTAAATAATCAATTTAAAGAAAAACAAAAAATCTAAATTAATATTTCTTATTTAATCTAGAAGATGATCAAGTTTCTGGATCCCTGGCTTCGTGTACAAATGTAGTTATCTAATCTTTTCATGTCCGTCGTCATGTACCGTTTATGTTCATGTTATGTATATATGTAAAAGCATGCAAAATGTACCCTGAATATAATAAACAAAACAAAACAGAATCAAAAACAAAATTGTGAAAAAATATAAAGGAAAAATGATTTTTGAAAGTTTTTAATCTATATTTTTCAAAACTCATTGATTAAATAAACTTTCAATTTCCTGTTTCTTCTTCCACGGAAATAAACTTGTAAGATTATATTTAATGTATACTAGAGGTTAACAATGTACCTTATCAGTTTTCAATCTTGTCTAATCTAACTTTTAATATGAAAATAAATGGCTTGGTGGTAAAAATGCTGAAAATATATCTGAGTACCCTAATATATCTTTTTATCACGTTTTGTTCTCAAAATATTCATATAAATGTTTTCTCTTTATGTCAATTATTTTAGACTATATAGTCGATTTGTATTTTTTTATCTGTTTTTTCTGTTATTTTGTATTATCTCTCTTTTTTGTTTTTTGTTCATCTTCCAATTTGTTATTTTTTCTTGTCTATATCTTTCAGTATTTTTTTTAATCTATTTTTTGTGTTATTTTATATTTATCTCTTTTTTGGCTATTTTTGTTTATCTTTCAATTTGTCTATTTTTTTATTTTTCATTCATAATTTTATATTATGTATTTTTTGGTCCAAATTCTTTTCTGTCTATTTTTGGTTTGTTGGTGAAAAGTTTTATCTGTTTATTTTTTCTCATCATGTAAATCTTTTTGTTTCACTCTTTATTTGTCTATTTGTCCATATTCCTATTTGTCTATTTGTCCATATTCCTATTTGTCTATTTGTCCATATTCCTATTTGTCTATTTGTCCATATTCCTATTTGTCTCCTAGTCCTTTTATCTGTTTATTTAAAATTATATGTATATTCGTCCATCTTTCTATTTGCCTATTTGGTAAATTCTTTATTTTTTTTGTCTGTATGTCCATCTGCCTATTTGTTTACTGATATGTATGTCTATTATCCTATTCTTATCTCCATACCTATTATATATCTTTGCAACCCAATGTCGTTATAGACCAGATATGTCAAACTATGAAGTCTGTCAGATCAAAAAATCTAAGTTTGAAATATCCGAGATTTACACCATCAGATTGAAAAAATATAGGGATTAGAAAATCTAAGTTTGTGGCAAAGACTTTGTTTTAAAAAAGTCGAAAGAAATCGTGAGAAATTTTTTTTAAATATGTAATTTTTTTCTCATTTTTTTCTAATCTCATACGACTCTATTCATTTATAGGACCGGTCCAACCTAGCTTTAGGAAGCTATAGAGCAAGCCATACAGAACATGAGGAAGCTAAAGAACAAACTATATAGTACATGAGGAAGCCATAGAATAAGCTATACAGTACTTGAGGAAGCTATAAAGTAAGCTATACAGTACATGAGGAAGCTATAGAGCAAGCTGTAAAGTGCATGAATGAGGAAGCTATAGAGCAAGCTGTAAAGTACATGAGGAAGCTATAATGCAAGCTATACAGTACATGAGGAAGCTATAGAGCAAGCTATACATTACATGCAGAAGCAATAGAGCAAGCTGTAAAGTACATGAGGAAGCTATAATGCAAGCTATACAGTACATGAGGTAGCTATAGAGCAAGCCATACATTACATGAGGAAGCTATAATGCAAGCTATACAGTACATGAGGTAGCTATAGAGCAAGCTATACATTACATGAGGAAGCAATAGAGCAAGCCATACAGTAGATGAGGAAGCTATAGAGCAAATTGTCAAGTACATGATGAAGCTATAGAGCAAGCTGTAAAGTACATGAGGTAGCTATAGCGCAAGCTATACAGTACATGCGGAAGCTATAGAGCAAGGGAAAAATCTTAAACCTGCAGTCTCGTATATTAAGTGTATACTAGATCGATAAAAACCAAAAATGATGTTTTAAACACAGACAAAACTAATAACAGTTATTTCCCCCCTCCTCCACTCCTTGATACCTTCATTTACCACTGTCGTTGGTTATTTGATATATTTTATCTGAGGGATTAGTTTAAGAGTGGTAAAGGGGGAGATGGTAGAGGAGGTAAGGGGAGGGGGGACGGGTGACTCGGACACTGTGAGAGAAATGAGGATATATCAGTAGAGAAAATAAGAGAAGGTTTCAGTGAATTAGGTAATCTCATCGGAGCCATACGTCGGAGCAAAACATACACAACTATAGTGTCTCATCGGAGCCATACATACACAACTAGACTCTCATCGGAGCTTTACATACACAACTAGACTCTCATCGGAGCTTTACATACACAACTAGCCTCTCATCGGAGCTAAGCATACACAACTATAGTCTATCATCGGAGCCAAACATACACAACTATAGTCTCTCATCGGAGCTAAACATACACAAATATATTCTCTCATCGGAGCCAAACATACACAACTAGTCTCTCATCGGAGCCAAAAATACACAACTAGTCTCTCATCAGAGCTTAACATACACAACTAGTCTCTCATTGGAGCCAAACATACACAACTAGACTCTCATCGGAGTTATACATAAACAATTAGACTCTCATCAGAGCTAAACATACACAACTATAGTCTCTCATCGGAGCTATACATACATAAATAGACTCTCATCGGAGCCATACATACACAACTAGTCTCTCATTGGAGCTAAGCATACACAACTATGACTCTCATCGGAGCCAAACATACACAACTAGACTCTCATCGGAGCTATACATACACAACTAGACTCTTATCGAAGCTTTACATACACAACTAGACTCTCATCGGAGCTAAGCCCACACAACTAGTCTCTCATCGGAGCTATACATACACAGCTAGACTGTCAACGAAGCTATTTTTACATAATCAACTGTTTGGTAATAGCTACATAAATGAATTTGAAAAATCCTTCACTATGAAAACTGTAATCCAAAGGTTAAAATCTTTCATAAGAAAATTTGCAAATTGCTTATTAAAAAATAAAACTATAAACAAGTGCAAATGAATGCTCTAAAATAAAAAGTATAAGAGATTTCGTGAATTATAGTCAAAGAGGTTTTATTGTTTTTTGTGCCGAACTCATTGATTTTTGATATGTACTCCTTGATGGAAAACAAAGAAATTGATCTGTAACATGAAAAAAAATTTAAATTTATCAGTTTTTCCTTGGGAGGAGATTATCTCTAACAGAATTTCAAAGCATGGAATTTGTTAAATTTGGATTTTTTAAATTAATAATCATTTTTATGCATCTATTCTTGTTTACAAATTCCGCCCAGAGAGAACTGGTTTCAATATGTACGCGGAGTATACGCGACCGCAATTAACTTTCCTTGCATTAGTACCTTGGTCCATACTCCGGTCACAGTACAAGTCAGCCAAGAAATAGAAAAGAGGAAGAATCATTGAGACTATAAACAAAGTGTTTACAAATGTACTGAAACTGGTATTAAAGTAGACGCAATAAACAATTTCGTTTTTAAATTTAAAAAAACATATAATTTTGATTAAATATCTTTTGAAAAAAAGTTCTTAACTTCCTCTTTATGTGTGTTCAAAATTCACTGTACAACGAAATCCTGTCAATTCACTTTCTTGTTTTTTTTAGGAAATGCAGTACATGACTTATTGATTCATTCTTTTGATTACTTACAAAGGCTTCCATACAGGGTGTCCCACATCAAATTAGACCGCGTCAATGGGTCTAAATTACGATTTGGGAGGAAAATCAGAAAATTTAGGAAGAATGAATCATTACGAAAAATTCAATAAGGCTAATAAATTTTGCAAAAAATGTTAGTTTTTTCGAGTATTGTGCGTATTTTGGCGTTAAAGATTGGAGATAATCTAATATGATATGATATGGGACGCTCTGTAGAAAGTTCAATGAAGATATTTACAATGATATTAGCTGGAGAAATTAAACTTTNGATAATCTAATATGATATGGGACGCTCTGCAGAAAGTTCAATGAAGATATTTACAATGATATTAGCTGGAGAAATTAAACCCTAATTCCTTAAAAAGCCAGGCTGTAATTAGCCTGTGTTTTCGAGCGTGATCTCAAAATTTGATCATGACAAATTTTGTAAATCTTACAGTTTACCATTTAGTTAAACTCGTTCTTCTCTTGGATAAAGACAAAATTGAGGAGAGTGTGTGTAAGTATTAACGAACCTAAGGCGTGTACTGATCAGTGATTTCTATTTTAATTTTTGAAAATCAATAATTTCACCACAATCCTAAATATAGATACAGCTGGTAAGAACATGAAAGGGGAAGGGGCACGGGGCGGAAACGTTTTGTATGTGTGTCTGTACCAAAAGAGTGTGCGTAAGTAATACCGAACCGAAGGTGTGTAATGTAGGTTGTACAGTACAAAAAAATCTCGGCATTTGTACAGTCTAGGAGAGTACATTTGTTTATTGTTAATTGTTTACTTAGAAATAAGTATAATATACATATATTTAGTATATTATTTATACATTTAAGTCAACACCATGAGCCAAATTTTCATGCGAAGAATATAATTTGATTAAAGTTTACAATAAACTACTCGTTATTCAAGCTTAATTATAATTGACGACATTGTTCTGCAACTTCCTTGACTGTAGTTATGTTGTGTGTCTGTACTAAAATAGTGTGCGTGTGTAATATTGAACTCGTCTGCAAAGCAGTGCGACTGGCTTTCTCATGCCGGACCAGCGCCATTTCCCTTCCCTTTATTCCTATTCCCTGGGAAAGGGAGGTAAAAACTACAAGACCTATTAGATCCTCTTATAAAACACAACAAGGAATTAAAAGCGCTATAAATATACTTTCAAGGGAACACTCCATTTGTGTGTTGAAATGTACGATTTACCACGCTTATACCCTTTAAATTTTGTATAATGGTCAACGACTGTGATATCCTAATTTTTCTAGCTAAAAGTTAAGTGCGGCGGGTATTTTTCAGTAATGAGAGAGATTTCGTTGATTTTCTTGCCCTAAAGAGATAGGAATTCTCACAATTTCCATTATACCCTTCATCATGAACTTGCAGTATAGAACTCCAAATTAAGATTATATTTGTTGAGAGAAAGGAATACAGGATACCGTTGGTAATCAGACGTGCAGCTCTTCAGTCCTTTTTATAATTAACTGATTATTCTTGTTCAACACTGAAAATTTAAAACAAGAGAAAAAAATAAAGAAAAAAATATTGAACATTGTAATGAGAAAGAAGCATC